TTATTGGACAGCGCTTCAAACACCTTATCTCACAATTCTACTTATGAAATGAACTGATATGTTGCTGATCTTGAATCGCTGAAAGAAGTAAGAATACCAGAGGTAAATGAAATAGCTGTTTTATTTTATTCAGATCAAAATCATTGTCTTACTAAAATAAATGGATTTATTTTTACTACTCACATCTCATAAACAAAACGCTTGGTGAATAAGATCGGGAACAGGAAGTAAATTAAGAGGGTTATGCAGTGATTGGCCAAAGAGCGGAAAGAATCGAACAAGCAGTGGCAATGGAAAAACCGGACTTAAATAGAACCACTAACCCTCTAGACTGATTTCATTCAGCTGTAATTTTGAGATTCTTTAAAGACCTTCTTTTTTCACAGAACCGGCAATAAAATTCTGCGTTAACATTTTTTCAAAAAGTAGGGGAATGATAAAAAATAAACTCAGTGTCAACATTGGATTAGAAAACTATGGGGTACGTTTTTTCCTTAAAATGGGAACCGAACTTCCCTGTCTCGATTCCAACAAAAGCTCTTTGTGAATTAACCCTAATAGAGCTATCGCTCTGTTTTGGCAAATGACTGTTCGCTTTCTCAGTAAGGCGAATACATCCTTGAATTAGTTCTAAAAGGGGTTGATCATCTTTACTTACATTTGAATTTCTACAGATTCTCAGATTATGTAAAATTGTTTTACATATTCTTTTACTACAGAAGAGAAAAAGGAAGAATCTATACATGATTCAAGTTTTGTATTATTTCTTTGGGCATAAGATATATTTTACTTAATAATCTAACTGCAGAATGATACTAACAAATTAATGCAAAGAACACCTACAATTTTCTCTAATAAAAATTTTAAATATATTTAATTAAATATTGTCACTGTATATCTACGAGAAGAATTTATTATATTTTTTAATAAGTGATGCCGGATTTTTGGATCTATATACACATGTCAATACTCACGATACTAATTACAGAGGAAGACAATAGATTCTTCATACTTAAGGGAAACATTTGTTCTGCCAAAAAAACGTATAACGCTGAACTTCATACGCATTAATATTTGAAAGCTAAAAAGGCATAATAAATATATGATACAAATAACAATGCAAGCCAGTTGAAAATATTTTTTATGATTATTGTATATCAGGTAAAAATATGACTCACGATGCAAAGAGATATATAACTCAAAAAATTAAAGGATTCATAAAATTTGCATTTAAATAACATATTATTAATAAATAATCTTTTAAATAATGTGTTTCAGTAAAATGTCTAGATAGAACATCTATGAACATTCATGATTAGTTTATCATCGTATTGAAAATTTAAAAAAATAATTTATTGGTTAAGATTAAATAATTATCAATAAGTGAATGTAATAATTAATTTCGAAGTTGTATATAATTTTGTCGTAAATGCATTGTCATCCTTACAATTGAAGAGAATGTTTTCGTGTTAAGAGATAAACATATAACTATTCAAACAGTGTTAAAATAATCATACATAATAGAAAAATGAATATCTTTAAAAGACTAGATTTAAAAAATTATAATTAAGATACTCAGAATACAGATATATAAAACATTATATTAATTATTAAATTACCTATATCTTCCGCTAAGAATTTCTCTCCGAAGATTGTTCAGTGTAACACAAGAAACGCTTGAAAAGCCAAAGAACCTTTCATTAAATTTAAAACTGCAATGTCCATTATGAACACACTCGAAGTCGTAATAGTGTCATTCGATTATTTTTCGAATCTCGACTTGGAATTCTAGTTTTAGTAAAATTCCAGAAAAGCAAATTAAAAAAGTTTTCTCAACTACTCACCCCACTTTATACCGTATATATACTAGTCGGAACTTGTATACAGCTTATTGTACATATTTTTACTATATTTAATCAAGAACGTATTTAATTCACTCATTTTATGACTTTTTAACTTTATTTTGCAAAGATATGGACTTTGTTTATTTACTACTATTTTGAACTTATGTATTTAAGACAAAGCTTTCATCGTATTGGTCTTCACCAAGTCGTTCTTACAAGTTCGTTTTTCATTTTTCATGAGCTTTTTTTCATGTGTACAAGTCATTTAGTATTCTCTACATCGCCTTGGACTATGTTTTAATGGTAAATACTAAAAATGTAACTTAGTCAAGCTTATTTTTGTTTAATTACTCATTTTCTGTCTTTTCCTGCCAACTCGATCACCGCCCAATCACGAACTCTCATGTGCTCGTCCGTAATCTACCTCCACGACGTAATGCATCGTTCATCGAGTTATTTTTATTTTTTCAACTTCAATGTGTTTTCGCGTATTTTGCTGTATTATTGTTATTTTAACTTAGTGTGTTACTTTTATGTTACTTTATAACCTCATGAACTTTCGTCTTCATATTTCCGCCTTCGCGGGACGATGTACACTCATCTTGTTTTCAAATCAAGCAGATAGAGAATTAATGATTTTTGAAATTTAATTTGAATTTTAATGGATTTTTGAAACATACAAGAACAGAGAACTTTAATCGAAATATTATCCATAATTCTGCAAAAATAGCTAACAGATTGTTAACCAAGTATTCAAAGAATAAAATGCAAAGAACTAATTTCGTTTTCATTCTTTTCATTTCAACGAATAAGAAAAATATGTATGTACAAATGAATCAGTAGCTATTTTATAGCGTAACTGTAATATATAATTTTATCATTTAAGTTGCTTTTATGTGTTCTCATAAAATGCCCCTCAACACAAATGTCGCAAAATGCCCCTCAACACATTATTTTGCATAGGGAAGTGATGACCATAGATTTATTATAATAACTATCTGGAGATTCCAATACCAATTTTTAATATAAAAACTAAAAATATTATTCATAATTAAATTTAGTAATAATAAATTCATAATTAAGTTTAATGGTAATAAATGTATAATGAAATAACAATACTCGTAAAAGGGAGATGCTTAAAGAATGAAAAACTTTTATATTCTTCAAGAATGCTTACAAATAACAGTATAAAAAAGTTTTAAGTTATAACTTTTACTTCCGAATTTTAAGATAGTATATTTCTTATTATTACGCTAAGGTATAAAATAGTTTTAGATTTCTGTTTAACTAGTTTAAACTCTTTAACTTCTCTAATTGAATTTTTGTAAGTAACATCAAATTTATTGAAATTTACAAGGGAATAAATGTAAGATATTCTCCACATTTATATTAATAATCGTATGGCAATTTTCCTTCAAAATCTACTTAGTACTCACAGCGATGAACTGGGCTGGTAATATTTCTAATAATATGATAAAATTTATTTTTGCAATTTCTTTTGAAATGTTAAATTTCTAGTCAGAAGCGAATATAAAACATCAAGTTATTTTCTTCCATGATGTGGCTAATATAATGTTTTCGAGTTATTTCATTTGCAAAGAAATGATATGTGAATGCTTCACTTTTTACTGCATATAATTTAACTGCACATATTTAAATCTTTTTTGAAAGTTGTTAGTCATTTGGATACAGAGAAATACATGAAACCTAAGTAATATCTTAGTCAGCAACGCAAACATATCCATATTTGCAAGATATATTATTTACGTCCACATACAAAGTCGGCACACCAGCGGTCGAGCGGGAAAGTCCCTGAACACTCGTAGTTCGGTCCGATGTTCAAATTCCGCGAACGGGCTGGTTGCATGGGCGTTTTCTAATTTTCACCATGTGGTAACGAGTTAATACGAGCCAGTTTCTCGTAGAAAGTCCTCCACGAAGGCATCCTCCCATTTCGTGTAGTACCTTAAGACGAAATACGTAAATAATAATAGTAATAATAACATACAATGAGGGACTGCATGTTTCCTTGAAGTAAGTATTTCGCGCTTTCAAAAAATTGCATTAAATCTTTTATGTTCAATGTACACACATTAAATGTAAATATTAGAATCCTTTTACTTTATAAGGTATTTCTCCCGCTTTCTTACCCTGCTTCGTAATGTAGTGGTCAGCACACTCGACGCGTATTTCAGAGGTCCGTGGTTCGAGTCTTGGAGATGTTACAGCTCATTTTTCATGTCTCCCGCTTCGAAATAACATAATGCATCTGCAGTGTCACCCGAACTAAAAATGATGGTGGATGATGATTCTCTACACCAGGATTTGGCAATTGAGCCCCTTTAAAAAGGACAGTATATATAAGGCATTTCTCCCGCCTTCTCAGCATGTCTTCGTGGTGTGCTGGTCAACACCACGAAAACATGCTGAGACTCGGCGCGTATTTGAGAGGTCCGTGGTTCGAGTCCCGGCGAGAGCATTGCTCATTTTTCTGGTCTCCTGCTTCGAAATAACCCAATGTCTCTACAACTTTAAGAGGGGTTAATTCTTTATGTTATCAAATATATAACCTGTGAGATTTTAAAAGCATAATTTAATACGCTGGATCATTTGATAATTCATTACCCGCTCAATTTATAACATTCATAACTCATTTCATAATTCATAACATCTGATCATTCATAACTCATGTACATAGCAACTCGGTTTCGTAATATTTAGTTATGTGCTTCATACTATCCTCTGATTATCTGATGTTACGTAGGTCAGTCAGAAAGTTAGTTGCACCGCTTTGTAGAAACTTTCTTTTATAGGCTATTTCGATGAAACTCTCTGGCGATACTTCAGACATTTAGCTGTATCGTGTGGAGTAGTGGCTTTTACGAGACAATTTTAGTTTGTCTGATAATTAGTCGTAAGTATGTCTAGACAACTGCAAGTGGCGTCCAAATTGGAAATGCGTGCTTCGATTCAAATTTTTTGTATGCGGAAACGTGGAACGGCTGCGAAATTTATGGGCAGTTGCATGAAGTTCACGGTGAAAATGCAATGTAACGTCAAGCTATTGCGAAGTGGTGCGACATGTTTAAGAACGGACTTAGAGATATTTACGACACTGAGCGCGATGGAAGACCATGAACTGCCACAAATTCTGAAATGTCTGCTGGCGTGGATGAATGCATTCTTGCAAACAGACGCATGACAATAGCCGATATCTCTAATGAACTGGATAAGTCTCATGAAAGTGTGCATAAAATTACTGCCGATCAACTTGAATTTTATAAAGTTTGTGCTCGTTGGGTGCCTCGTTTACTGACGGAGGAACATAAAGGCAAGAATTTTGAAATTGCGTTGAAATTTCTGCAATGTTACCAAAAGGAAGAATATCAGGTTTTGGACAAAATTGTGACCGTAGATGAATCTCGGATTCCCCACTTCTCACCTGAAACGAAACTCATCTCGCTCAAGTGGAAACATTCTACTTCCCAGACACAAAAAAAAGTGTCGAATTGTTACACCTGCGGGAAACGTGATGCTGAAACTGTTTTTGGCAGAGAAGGTTTGCTACATACAGAGTTCATGCCGAAGGATGCCACAATTAATGCATCTTCTTATTGTGAAACACTAAAACGATTACGAAAATCACTTAAAAATCGACGCCCAGGTAAAATGTCGAAAGGCATTGGGCTCCTGCATGACAATGCAAGACCGCATGCAGCAAAACAAACGTGAGACCTTCTGAAAAAGTTTATTTGTGAAGTATAGAATCACCCTCCTTATAGTTCACACCTTGCAACGTGATTTGTTTTTGATCTCATAGTAGCAGAACTTTCAAAGCAATGATATCACTGGGATGACAAGGTGAAAACGGCAACCCAAGAATGGTTATCGGGCATTGGACGGGATTTATTTGCAGAAGGGATCGGCAAACTTGTACCACGCCTCGAAAAACGATTAAATAACTGAGGTAATTACTTTGAAAAAGAGATTTTGAATGGGACTTTAAGATACAAATAAATTTATTGTAAAATTTCTCTCCTGTTTTGTTTTCTAAAGCAGTGCAACTAACTTTTTGACTGACCCTCGTAGTTGAGGTTTTGATTTCGGAAGTCTTAATATTCTGTTTGTATATTATTTAACAATTAGACAACATCTAATATTTCTGTTTCATATTTGTAGGATACTATGCTCTTTTTAAAACATTCTGACACCATCTTTATTATTATTAGCCCAAAGGGAATTAGCCCAGAAGGGCTATTAATTTCGATTTGGCATGTTGCTTTGAATCACTAGAAACGAAGAATCACTTATCAAATTGTTGCCACCAAATATTATTTCCCTGTATTATATTTAAAGGAATTAAATAATGAAGAATCTGCATAAATGTATCTACGTTTCTCGCATTGTTATAAAATAGCGGTACCTAGAGCCATCTAATTTTGAATAACGTAATCTTCCACTGAATATGGGGATCTGGAAGGATTAATTTGAAATTTGGTATTTGTTTTATTATGGATTTCATATTTTGTTATACTTTAACGAATTTTGGATTAGAAAACTCACCTATTTTAAAGAAAGACATTTTTGTCTCCAGCGCGCGCATCTGTGTATCGGAAATTTCAGATACACTCATTTTAAAATTATTTTGCGATAGCGCTGTTGAATTGAATATTATGGTTTAAATGCGAAGAACATGGTATTTAATAAATAAAGGTAACACACGTAACGATAAAAAACGCCTCTTTGGGCGTAATGTAAAATCTGAAACATTTCAGATTTTTTTAATATTTTGTATTACTTATTCTGTTTTTACTGTATTCGTAAAAGTCGTTTCTGTGTGTTAAATAACTACTTTGATAATGCTGTTAACCTTTTCATGCAATTTTTCACTCATTCTTATTGCTAAAGGTTATTGTTTCCTTTAATCGTTCATGTCCTCATTTTAAATCCTCATGGGAACTTAAATTGAAAGTGCTCCTTAACTCGAAATGCTCGGCAAATAAATGTGGTATTAGTATTTGAGAGGTTAATGACTGTCTGACTGCATAACCAAGGAGAGCAAAAGCCTTTAGAATACTTCAGACTTTATTACTCTTTTCCATTAGCTAAATCAGCTTTATATTCCATCTTGCAGATTAAAACCTATATTCATTATGACTGATTTTCCATCTTGCAGCTTAAAATGAATCTATTTTGCAAAACTTTAAATTAATGCAGCTTAAAATGTGTTTGTTCCCCTCCTTTTTACCTTGATCCATTATTATGTAAGTTTGAGATCAAACTTATAAAATTATTATTATGTATTATTTCACTGGAGAATGTGGAATGTGAAGTATTAATAGAAGTAAAGTAAAGAAATTAAATGCAAAGGTTAGCATAATTTTTTTATGACTCCCAGACGGTATAGTTATTTAGGAGAGGTTTGATTAGTGGTTAGGGAAGCCTACTGCGGTACCTAAGGGCTCGGGTTCGAATCTCGAAGAAGGTATGGATGTTCGTAAATGTATAGTGTCTTTGCGGCTTGGGGGCAATCTATATATGTGCCAATCCGAAAGTCGTCTTGACAGGTCCTTGGTAGGGAAAGAAGGGTGTGAGACCCTCGGAACCTTCCCCTCCCCTGGGTGCTCTCTATCAAAATTCGGGGAACGAAACTAGGGTGAAGTCGAACTTGTACGATGCTCAAGGCTCTTGCCAACGACAGACGCAAATTTGCACCCCTTACTCTGATGAATTTCGTCAGCTTGGTTTGATAATACTGAGAGACAAGTGAGATAAGTCACAGCACAACACAGCATCGGATTATACATAGAAGAATAGTTTTTAAATACACAGAGATAAAATTTTTTCCACAATATTAGTCTAAAAACCTGAATTTTTAATAAGGATGTAGAAAATTTTCTCAGAAATAGACATTGATTTACCATTTCCTGAGCATGAGAAAGTTTGTGCAGAGTTGCCAATGTGCACACTGAGTCATCCAGACAAAATATTAGGAGAGACATCCAGACAAAACGTTACAAATAATACATTTAGTACATAAAAGACAGAAAGATAAAGAAATTCTGAAGAGTTGCAAATATGCACACTAAGTCATCCAGACAAGATACTGAGACAGACATCCAGACAAAACGTTACAAAGAATTCATTTAATCTACAGAAAGATAAGGAAAATCTTCAAAACAAAAGACAAGTGAATGTAAAACGAAAATAATGTTTTTGCTGAGCATCCTAGATAACGTCTACGTTTATAAATATCTAGTTAATTAACTTTATCAGGACTGGTATTCCTCTTTACTTGCCTTGGAAACATGAACTGTCCTGACTCGAAACAGGGAGCTTACTAAAGCTATGTTCAATAAATTGTGAAGTAGACAATACACACAGGAAGGGTATACGAAACCCTTTATTTTTCTACCTTTACTACAGAGATTTCCGGACTTCGGAATACAGAGACCAACTACTTGTGGTCTGAACGTAAGAATATAAAAATATTAACTAAAACTCTAAACTAACTTTGGATGCCTACTTTAAGATTGGCCGTTAATTGACAAAAAGCCGTATGTAGTACAGAGAGCTGCTAAAACTACGATACGTTTAAAATTATCAAGAGGATTAAACCTCTGGCCTTGAAGGCAACCAGCAAACGAGTAAAACTACTATGGCAAGCGGCCTGCTTCTAATAACTCCTTCCTCTCTCTTGCTTGGCAAAAAGCCACAACTTAAGTACTTGGCGTTAGCAAGACAAATTTGCATAAATAAGTTAAAAGCTTTTAATTCTGGCCGGAAGTAGAAAATAAGAAGTGATAGTAAAGATTTAAAATAAAATAAACGTTAGTAAAACTTAGGATCCTTACAACTTGATAGTATTGTAAGTATTATAAACAAAGATTAACGCTTTTTTTATATGTGTAACTGAAGTATAAGGGAATTTTACAAAAAATTTTTATGAGGGAAAAACAAATTGCTTAAATTTTCGTCAGTCCGAAAATCATAATTAATATACACTATAGCCTTATTTGTTTCAATTTTAACTTCAAATTCACAGTAATAATATATGTCAATTATTTCATACAGTATTTCTGCAAAACAGAAATAAAATGTGAAACAGTTTTAACATTTAAGTCGATTTTAGAAATTAAATCTATTAGGAAATTTATTGAGCTAATCTTTAGCAGTATTGTACAGTCATTAATTCTTTTGGATCAGGAGCCGTAAAAAATAGGATATGCTGAGACTCGAACCCTAGAACGCGTCGAGGATGCTTGTAATAACGCCACGTAGGCACGTAGAGAAGAAAGAAATACCTTATAAACTCCCTCTTTTAAATGGCGACTGGAGATAAGGGAATCCAATCTATAAATCCTGAAGGCTACTAACTATCATCCACCCCCCTTTAACATCGTTCGCCAGTATTGAATCTTTAGGGTTTTTTTTTTTCCTTTTGTAGTGCAAAGAAGCTTCGTCCCTTAGGAACTATTGTTTTCGCTTTGCGATTGGTTGGCTCATTATAAATATCCGTTTCACTTTTGAAACTGTTGCCACCAAATGTTAAAAGTCCTGCATTATATTTGAAGAAATTCAATAATGAAAAATTTGTATAAATGTATGTATATTTCTCGCACTGTGATAAAACAACCTAGAGCCATCCAATATTGAAGAATGTAATTCTCCAGCGAATATGGGCATCTGAAAGCCCAAATTTGAAATTTGGAAATTGTTTTATTATCGAATTCATACTTTGTAAAACTTTAACGAATTTTTCATTAACGAACTCAAGGATTTCAAAGCGAGCAATGGCAACCTTCTGCAGGGAAAAAAAAAACATTTTTATCTCCAGCGCGTGGAACTGTGTATCGGAAATTCTAAAGATATGCTTTATTTAAAACTGTTTTGCAATATTGCTATTGAACTGAATTTTATGGTTTAAGTGCGAAGAACGTGATATTTAATAAATAAAAGCAGGAGACGTGAAAAATGCACGAAGGAGCACTTATACGGACATTATGCTTTTTTGAAGCGGGAGATGTGAAAAATGCTCAGTGCCTTCGCCGGGACTCGAACCTGGACCTCTCGAATAGGCGTCGAGTATGCTTCAATTACATTACGAAGGCATGTAGAAGGAAATATCTTAAAATGTAATCAATGCTGTTTGCTTATAATGATTTCATTTTTTCTTGCATGCTAGTATCTAATGACTATCATTGTATATAGAGGAAAAGCGGAAGTTTTTTTCAGGAATTCCGCGCAAAATGTGATGCTTCTGGCAAGTGCAAAATAAACTCAAATATTTCATTGAACAATAATAATCTAATCACTTTTTTGAAAATAAATACAGTCGAATCTTGTTAATTGGACCACCGGATAATTGGACCAGCAAGTTTTCGGACCGAATCCTAAAGAACCCAAACAAATCCTATGTACATAAGCCTAATATTATTCTCTTATTTGGACCAAAATTCCGCTTAATAGGACCAAAAATGTGAGAAGTAATAAGAAACAGCAGCCACAACTCGGCGGCGTATAGCGGATGTAGAGGTGGTTCGCAACATATGGGAGGATCTGTAGCTGCGCTCTCCAGGAGATTGCTTTATCAAAGGTCAGGAATTCCTTAAAGTGGATGACGAGAGCAAAAACCAGCGGGAAGTGAACACGCGCACCATTTTCTTTGACCTTTCTTAAAACAGAGCCACCAGTAGCCGCCAGCGTGGTTATTGGTCCCACTGCGTCTCCGA